GTAACCTACTTATATGTTTTTATAGTAAATTTAAGTATCGAACTGATATCGAAGTGGTATCGAAGTGGTATCGTTAGGAGCCCTAATATTGATTAATATTAGTATAGCTAGTAAACTATTTATATATAAGAATATATAATTTTTAATGATTAATAAAAACTATATATAAAATATATTTAATCTCAAAAAAAAAAAATTAAATTAAATTTATTGGTAATTAATTATATAAGAAATATTATTATTTTTATTATACTATATACTGTATATATAATTTTATATTATTTTATAACTAATAAAATAAAAATATTTATCTATTTAAATAAATAAATATTTATTATATAAGGTTATTGTCAGTTTATATTTTAAATTATTTGAATATAAACATATATTCTTAATTAATAAAATAAAAAATTTATTAACAATTAAAATTTTATTAAATTAATTTTATTATTACTGTATTTATAATTAAACAAAACATTTAATCTTTATTATTTTATTGTTGATTAAAAATATTTGATATATTTATAACAAATTATTTATTTTAATGAACCAATGTTTTTTATTATAAGAAATCTTATTGTTTATTGTTTTTTTGAGATAATTAGCAATAAATAATGTTTATTATTAAATTGAAATATAATTATTATTTTTTAATATTGAAAAAAAAAAAAAAGTATTAAATTATTTTTAACAAAATAAATATTAAAATATCTTGCTTTTTACTATAATTAATTACATTATTAATTTGTTATTATAAAATATAAAACATTTAAATATTATATATCTTGTTAATATTTTTTATTAATTAATTCAAATTATTAATCCATTGGTATTTAGAAATTTTGATATAATCAATAATTTAAAGTCAAATTAAAATAGAAAAAATTTTTATGTATTTAAGAGAATAAAAAAAACTTATAATTATCTTTTCTAAAATTTTAAATCTCTAAAAAAAGAAATAATTTTTTTTATATTTATTATAGAAAAAATTATAATAAGAAAGTATATAGACTTTATTATAAAGAAGCATTAAAACTTTTTTGAAACATATGTTTTTGAAGTTGATAAAAGGATTAGTGATATTAATATAAAAATATTATTATTAAAACGCGCTATCAGTGACTCATGATTAATTCCGAACCAATTATTCAAAAACGTCCAAGCCTGCTGAGTAACACCTAATTTTCCACCCTATCATCTGTACAGCCAAACTTGTTTAAACATACTACGCACATACGTAATGCGTTTGAAGGCTTTTCATCATATAAGATAAGATTATTAAGTTTATAAAACCTTGTTCGTAAAAACAATTCTACACGTAAATTTTCGAAAATACATTAATATAGAAGCATTATAAAAGAATACATTAATTTGAAACTCGAAAATACGTATTTGAAAACACCATTCAACATCCACAACTTGTAAAATTCATTACACCAAATTAGAATCTTGACAATTATTAATTATGGAAAGTCAGTCAAGCATAGACATTGAAAATAAAGAGAATATATCAATAGAACCTTCTCCAGTAGTGGAAGAGGAATTTCAGGGCGTAAACGGCGTCAACATTACATTACCTATATCACCTCAGACAAATTCTCGCCGTTCAATGTCAACTATTAGTACTGATTCGCTCACGCACCATCCTTTACAGAATCTTGATGAAGAAGAAATCGAATCACTATGGTCAGGTCAACTTAGTAGGCGTTCTCCTTCGTCCTCTTCAATTTCATCGTTGTCTTCTTTGCAGCCAAAATTTTCATCATCACATCTTGTACCCGGAGATTCACTTGGAGGACTAATTCTGGCAAAACTTCGTGAAATGAATGACGAATTTTCTGATATTATTCAATTATTGATAGCGAAAAAGGTATAGGCTAAATATAATTGATCAATCGTTTTATAGTTTGATAGTGCGAAAGTAATTCGTTGGTCTATTATTAGGCTACACTTTGTCTTCCTGCATCTGCAGTGGGTCCATTTGAGAATGTGGACCGAATTCTTCTTCAAGATCATGTGATGGTTACCCAGACGATAGATGACGAGATCAAAGTGTTGACCTTAGGTGGATTGACTGGGTTCATTCAAAAGTAGGTAGCATTGAACTTTCAAGTCATATATCAATACGTGAGCTGATTTTACTGTTTTTATTGAACAGGGATGCTTTTAAGGCGATAGGTCTGATGTCATCGGAAAAGGATATTTTGACTTCCATAACAGAGAGTCAAAAAAATCGCAAGTTAGTGTGAATCTCATTATCATAATATTTTCCCAAAACTACATAAAGTTTGATGATTTCCAAAACTATCTTCCAGATCTATATTTGATGCTTTTTCTAAACCCAATGATTATTCCCGCGAATATCCATCAATTAAAATCATCAATGGTAGCGCCGACTTACTTTTGCATGGAATGACCATTCAAACAATTGTAATTGAGTCTCCAATAATGACGAAAGAAATCGTGGATAACATTGAGACAAAAAATGCAATAGAACAAGAAGTCGGAAAGGCAGATTTGCCGGAACCCATATTAAAAGAAATTTTCAGGTACTGATTTCAATATCCCGTTTATAACAAGTGATTCGTTTTTGTTTTTTTTTTCATCGGATTAAATCTGCTTTTTAGTTTCATAGAAGAATTCTCTAAAAAACCACCTCAAGATGAAGATTCATCGAGTGATGAAATTCAAAGGTTATACGAAAATATCCGTTATCACTTTGAATCGCAACTTGCAGTAGCTGGTGAATTGGCCGAGGCTAGGGAAAATGAAATTGATGAATCCATGAATATTGTAGAAAAATACGTTTGTACATCACTCTATGAATTGTATGTCTTTTTTGATGTTTTAATTCTTTGCTATAATGCATGTCATATATGCGTTAACGTGATATCAAAAATACTTTCTCAAAGTTTATTTTGCCCAAAATGGTCGGATGATGGTTTACAGGATGATAGTTTAGGGTCACGGATAGCCGCTTTAAATATCCTGGAGCTGAACCTTTCCTCTCTTGGTGTTAACGTTGGACCGCACCAGCAAACATTTATTGACTTTGCTGTAAAAGAAGCAAGTGCGGAACTGCAAAGTTTGGAACAAAAGAAATCGCCGTATGAGAAACTAAACAGTATCATTCACTGCCATAAAATTATTGTTGGTGAGAAATTAGTTAATAACATTAGGTAGAATGATTTTGTTAAATCCACAATGTTGACAAAGTTTTCTTTTTTTTTTTTGAAAAATAAAGATGCTCTCGAAAAAAGATTGTCAAACATTAATACAGATAATAACGATAAACCAAGTCCAATCAACCACAACGATCACGTTAAATCAAAATCTACTGCTGCTTCTCCAGCTTCGATTCCCTTACCAGATTCTCCTACAACATCAAATGGTTCGAGTGTACCTACTTCACCAACTTTCCCACCGGAAGAAAAATATAACCCTAATGCGGATGTAATTTTACCGCTCTTAATATTTATCTTAATTAAATCTAATCCAAAAAAGCTGGTATCTAATTTAAAGTAAGTATTAATTTATGAATATACCTGATTATTATATTTGTCATTATATTTCAACTTTGTTGATCTTTAATATAAGGTTCATACAACGATATCGAGTACGGAGTTTATTACACGGAGAGTCGGCATATTGTTTTACAAACTTTGTATATATTGGTCTTACCTTTGATATTATAAATCGGTTTATAATTCTCTCACTTATCTTGAATTTATCTGATATAATAGTTGGCCGCTGTTTCATTCTTGGAGGATGCGGACTACAAAAGGTTGGGTCTGCCTTCAGATAAGGTGTTCAGGTGCGTTATTGTCTGAACCTCTACAAAACGTGTGTGTTATTTGTCTTTCTGAATTTAAGGTGAATATATTTTGTGCTATGATTCTGAGTTTCAATTAACTTGACTTTTCAAAATACAGCGAACCCATATCGGCAGAAAGTACAAAGGTTCCATTAGAGCAGCGTGTGAGTCGCAAAGTTGGGCAGGACATTGTTGGTGTAGCCGATAGCGGACTTAAAGCTATTACAGGAGTTATGGACACTTCATATAAAATGATTGGTAGAGTATTTGGATATAATGAAAACGTAATCACCGGCAATCCTTCTACAATCACAAATGAAAAAGTCAAGGAAAATTCGACAACACATCAGCATCTGACAAAGACCAAAGTCAACGATATTGTAGTGAATTCTGGAATACCGACTGAAATAATAGTAAGAGAATTGGCGGAGATCAATTCTAGTAAACACGATGCAGAAGACTTTGATGACGGAAATATGGTAAATAAAAACATGCAGGCCGTCGAATCAAAATCTCTGTAAGCAGTCAAGGATCTATTTAACTTTTTAGTAATACTTTCATGATTGCTGAGTAAATTTGATTTTATTTTAATAGGACTGAACGATTACTTCCTTATAACGTACTATCACGATTTTCATCCGATCGAGGCCGTCCTGGAGTAAGGCTTATTTCTTATTAAGACAATAGTCTTTATTCCTTTGTTTTTTTTCTCCTGACCAATCATTCTATTCATTATACTTTTCGTAGGAAAACAAGGGGACAAGTAACGTTAAAATAGCACCCCCGCTCAAAAAAGTTCATAGATTGTCCGATAGAGGAATTTCGCGTGTCAGATGTTCCAGGTTAGCATCATGAATATGGATTCTTGTTTTATATCTACCTTTACGATCAACATTAATTTCTTTTTTAATTAAAACCAGAACTTTTGTCAGATTACAAGCGTCTATCATCTGCTATGCGCGAGCTGGGACTTTTTTCTTAGCTATTTATTTTTCAATTTCACTTATGTCATCTTAGTTCTCACGATCCTGTAATATTGAAAATTATAAAAATGACGAAGTAGGAACACCCGGTTTGGGTTCATTTTTGATAAATTTTGATTATTACTTTTTTTTTTCTTGCATATTTAAACTCTTTGCTAATATTACTGTAGTGTATGCCTACATCTAATTTAATATTATGTCTGTTACATTAATGCATGCATTATGTGGATTATTTTTGCTCATTCAAGTCACTCAATATAATTTTAGACAATGCACTGCAAAGCAAATGTAATTTTTCAAAAAAAGAATGCTATCAACTGACTAACGAGAAAACGAAACGTGCTATCTGAGATCCATTACTAATGAATCCGAAGTCGGCATAACATATTTTTTAAAAAATCACTCCCGTGAAGGAAACAGATCAAATTATCATGCTACTTATGTACTTTACCTATAATCTATGTCGTTGTTAAATAAACTTATGAGATACATAAATTTTAAAATTAGTATTCTGTTTAAAATATAATTTATTCGATCTTTACTAAAAATTATTTAAATTATTAATTCCTATCTCAATTTATTATATTTTATTTATCAATTATTTTTATTTCATATAATCTTAAGTTACTCTTTGCAAAAAACTACAGGAGCATTTTTTTGGTTAAAAGTTCAAAATCATTATATTAGTAAAATTTTGAATGATTTCCCATTTCGACTTATGGATAAAAAAATTTTTTTAAGATTGTATTTTTTATATTAATATTCTTTAAATTCCAATATCAGGGCAAAGTGATAAAATTATTGGAAAAACTGCTTTCTTCTATCTGCAAATATTCGAATAATAATAATAACGATAAGTTTAAATATGATTAATCATATGATTTAAAATGTAATGTTTTATTGGTTATTATAAAAAAATTTTGATGACCCAGCCGAGATATGAAAACCAATTAACTAATTATGTTTTTATTTTAAAATATTAAAATATAGTTAAAATTCCAATCAATAAATACTTATTATTATTTTTAAACTTTAAAATAATCTTAAGTTTTGTAAAATAGAAAAGTCTAAATAAATACAAAAATAATTCAAAAAATATTAATAAAATTTGTATAATGGTTTATTAATTTCATTTGATAAATAATATTGGAATCAAGTTAAAAGTTTATAAACAATAAGGTTATATAAATTGCAAATATAATTAAAAAACTAATAAAATTATAATAAA